ATTAAACAGGCCTTAAATATGGTTAGTTCTCAAAATTCACTGTGCATAAAAATCATGTGGGTATTGAAAAAAAAAAGATGCATGGTCCTCATCCCCCAGTTCAACTGGGCAGGGTTGGACTAGGGCATCTGTATATCTTTAGAAAAAGAAAAAGCTTCCCGGGTGGTTCTAATGCTCAGCCAGGGATGTGGGAACATTCGGGATATTTTAGAAGACATGGCTTTGTCAAGAGAAATCAAGGAGCAGCGAGCAAAAACAGGGAGAACGTGAGCTGCAGTGGTGTATGGGAGCCTTACTGAGGCTGCAAAGGTTGGGGAGGGAAGCCTTGGGGACCTGGAATCGCTGAGGACCTTACTTTGTATGTGTTGAGGACTTGCAAGGTGTTCCCAGATACCAGTTTCAGCTGGATCAGTTCTTGATTTCTTGCTTCAATTGTGTCTAAAAACTGAGCATTCTCGATCTTCAGCTGCTGAAAATCAACTTCATGGAGAGCCTCACCTACCTCTTCCTTCTAAAGCTCAGAAAGAAGAAAGAAATGATGTGAGGTTGTGACTTCCAAATATATGGCTCACACCTTGTGATTCTAGGTGAGAATTTGGAAGTTAGTCACCACAAAGTCATTCAACAAACATGGGCTAGGGATCTGCTTGGTGCCAGGCATGGCACTAGGCAATGGAGGTACAGATCTGAGTAAATATGATACTCCCTAGTCTCGCAGAGTGCATAATCAATGAGGGCTCACAGATAGGTCGCAGTATGGTGTAGTGGGATTTGCAGGGGCAGAAGGCACATGGACGCCCCTCATCAAGGCTAGTGGAGACTGGAAGGCTGGGTCAGGGAAGGCTTCCCCCAGGAGGTGGTATCCAAATAGGGTTGTAAAGGAAGACTAGAAAAAAGGCCACTGAAAAGTTGCTTTCACCTGGGAAACTCAGGACAAGCAGCCCATAAATTCCCTTCCTTTGATCGCATGATGTTTCTGCACCATAGGTGTATTAGTGTATAGGGTTCCCTCCTGGACCTGGCCCCACGTTACCCACCCCACCAGGTCTATGTCATCTTACATCTGTGGTAGGCAATACCAAACTCAGAGACTGTTCCCTACCCCCATGCTCTACTCAAGCTGTACTACCTCCTAGAAGCCATCTTCTTCCCTTCCCCCGAACAACATAATTTCTTTAAGCCCCAGTGGGATCCCTCCCCCAACTCAAATGCTCACAACCATCTTCCACACGAGGACAATCCCTCTTCCACTGAGCCCCTGATGGCTGTAGCTCTGCGGTTCTTGTCGCAGTTGCCTCTGCATAGCAGTTACACATCTGCACTTTTCTCACCTTCCCACTCCCAACCAGTCTGTGGGCTGGCAAGGGCATGCCCACATCAGTGTCTGCTCTGTGAAGAAATGGCCTCTAGGTCAAAGGTCATCCATCTACTCCCCATCTCATGCTAACACCCCCCTTCAGGAGGGCTGAGCTTGCATGATGCCCAGAGTACTGGGGGCTCAAAGGCAGCTCCTCTACCTCTGGCGGCTCACCGATGCCATGTTCTTTCTTACACTGAACTTAAATCTCCTTCACTGACACCACTACCCTGGCCCTAGCCCCACCCTGGGGCCCTGGGAAGCAGTGTGTGCTCTCCTGCTAGAGCACTTTGAGGCAGCAGCCTTGACCCTTCTGGGTCCTCTCTCCTTGGGTCCCTCAGTCCCAAGTCCTCTGACACGCTTTCTGCACCCCTTGCTCTCCAGCTCCCTCCCCTACATGAACTCTGGTTTACCAGTTCTTTCAGGTGTGGAGCTCTGAGACCCAGCGCTCCTCAGAACAGAGGCCGGGCTACTCAGAACAGAGTGGAGCAAGACCACCACTTTCTTGGTGGGACTCTGTGGCTCCCTGTGCAGGCTAGCACCTCACAGTGTCGCCTCCAGCTGAGCTGCCTTTCAGGCACTCGAGAGCTAAGCCAGCTGGTACCTGTGCACAGAGTTCGGGAAATCAAAGAGGAGGATCTTACACTTGTCCTTAGTCACCTCATATTGTTAAAGCTGTCCCAGCTTGTTGAGTCTTTCAGGATCCCAAGTCAATTGAGCAATAGTCCCCAGACATGTTAATTCTCCTGTCCAACTCTGTCATTGTCAGTGGCCACTTCTGATGCACACGCCATCAGTGCCCATATTCAAGTTAATAATAAAAAGATTGAGCTACAAGAGGATGCAACTATGTAATCACATTCCAGAGGCCCTGTGCCATGTCTGCCTTATGCCTTTTATCAGAAGTCTTTAGGGGCAGCTGTTCAAAGACTTACTAAAGCACACTATAATTGGGCCATGCAGGCCACTTTCCCCAAAAGAGTCCACAAACATATCATGAGGGTCTTTTAAATTCAAGCCAACTCCATCCACAGATTTACCAGCAGAGTAACTGTGTTAAGTTCCTATTGCTGCTGTAACAAATGATCACAAACTCAGTGGCTCAAAACAACACAGATCTATTATCTTACTGCTCATGAGCCCACAAGTCCAAAATGGGTCTTTGGGCTAAAATCAAGGTGTCAGCAGGGCCACATTCCTTCTGGAAGTTCTAGAGGAGAATCTGTTTCCTTGCATTTCCAGCTTGTAGGGGCTGCTTACACTCCTTTGTTCATGACTCCTTCCTCTATCTTGAAAGTGCATCACTCTGATTTCTGCTTCCATTATCACATCCTCTCTGACTTACTCCCCTGCCTGCCTTTTAGAAGGACCCTTGTGATTACATGGGACCCACTCAGATAATTCAAGATAACCTGCCTTTCTCAAGATCCTTGACTTAATCACATATGCAAAAATCCTTTGCCCTGTGAGATACCAGATTCACAGATTCCAGGAATTGAGATACGGACAGCTTAGGGGGGATACTGATCTACCTACCACAGTAACTTTAGAAAAAAGAGAAAACCACATACCTGCCTCAATTGTAAAAGCATCTTTTTCCTTTGGACTTTGAGAGAAACATTTTTCAAACGTAATTTATCCTTCATATTATCCTTAAAAAAACACACATTTTAATTCATTTATCTTCTCTGTTGGTTTGAAAAGTTACTAGGCCTGGGGCTACAAACCTTGAGTTCTAACATTCAGTCACTTGTTTTTAGGTCTTGTTATGTCTACTCAACCTGGTGTTGCTATAGCATTTCACATGACCAAGAAGCAGAGGAAACCAGGCCTGCTTCATGAAAATTTTTCTATGGCTTTTAAATTCAAGATAATTTGGGTATAGAGACATTTCCTGACAAAATGACCTCATGATTCTTTAGTCTTTTATTTTTTTGGTAGTTTACATAATTTTTACTACTTAAAACATGTTGGGGTTAGTAACCCTACCTATCTCCAGGATCCAAAGCTTGACATCCTGTAAAATCTTTGGAAGTGAGGAGCATTTTATGTCTCATTCTTATAATAATGGAACTCAGAGAACCTGAGATTTACCTGTCCCACTCCATGTAGTCACCTGACTAGATAGGTTCACACCTTTCTCCAGAAAATATATCACACGTTGAGACAAACGGGGACAATAAAAAAGAAGAAATTGATCTGATATTATTAATAGTTGCCCGGCCTGATTGATTTTAGCCTTGAGAAACTTGCATTTTAAGACCCACACCGTAGGTGAATGCAAAAAATCTGCCTATGTGGGCAACATTTACGGTGGAGCAAATGAAATGGGGCTGCCTCACATGGATCACTTTTATGTCATCATTCCGTTAATCTATTCCCCCTTTCTAATCTCTAACCTCCAGAGAACTTACCCTCTGGCGGTTCATGTCCTCAATGTACTTCATCAGTTTCTCAGTGGCCAAAATACTCCCTTTCTTCTTGGATATGGTTTTTAGAATATCTTTTTTAAACTCCTGTACCGCTCTCTGAACTTCAGTCCATCGCATTTCTGCTTCCTCAATGACAGCCTGGAGAAGTCAGCACCAAGAGAGAACAGAGTTTCCAAAAAACCTGAAGGATATGTTCCTCTAAGGAAACCAAAGTTCTCACAACTCCTTATGTCCTATTACATAATATATATTTTTAGTCTTAGAAACATAACCTTAAGACACAAATTTGACTATATGAATGTTATTAAAAAGCATGCCTCAAAAAAGTCATAGTATTCCTAAAAAGGGGGTGAGCAAATGAAAACAGGACCTCCTGTATCTCTACACATGTTATTTATATATCTGAAGTATTACTTATCCATTAAAAATTATAACATATAACATAATATAAAAAATATCTGAAAGGATATACACCAAAACATCAACCACAGTCACATCTGGAGAGATGGATTAGTGGGGAGACAAAGAAGCATACTTCTGTAATCTGAAAAAAGATGTTATAAATGAATACATGCACTGACATGGAAAGATACTAAGTGAAAAATATAGTGTACAAAATAATGTGGCACGTTTTTGTGAAGAAATTCACATATACATAGAAAATAATCTAAACTCTAGGAGATAAATACAACAGTCAACAGTAATTACCTCCAGATGATAAGATTATAGATGTTTTCAAATGTTCTTCTTTTAGCTAACCTGTATGTTTAAATTTTGCTGTAACAGAGATTGTCTTTCAGTAAAAAAACACAAAAACACACAGTTATTTTAAAGAATAAAATGAAAAGGTCTCTGTATCTGCAAAGAAAATCATTCTAATTCAGGCCTTTGCATGGGCACCAAGAAGCAAAAGTGTGTCCCTTCACTGGCCAGCCTTTGGCCCCAGCCTCTTCCCTCCCCATCGTCTTCACATGCCTAAACATCAGTCCACCTTAAGTGCCACTTTCAACATGTCGCTCTCCTGCTCAGTTATCCTCATCAGGGTCCTGCTTTTTAAAACTTCAAAGATAAACTCCTTTGCCTGTCTTTCAAGGAGTCATAGCCCTACTCCACCTGATTTCCTAATAGAGCCCCCAAAGCACAGCACCCTTTTCGCCAATCACCTGGCCCCCTCAGTGTCATGGACTGGCCATGTTCATTTCCACCGCCACTTCCTTGCTCATGTCATTCACCTACCTATGGTGCCCTTCTTTTTCTATTCCTTAAACAAATACTATCATTTTCCAAGGCCATGTCAAGTCCTATGTCCAGTCCCACCTCCTCAACAAAGTCTTATTTGACCAGTCTAGCCATGGAACCTAGCACGTCAGGACAATGCTAGCACATCCTGAGCTCCTTTAACATGTTAGAATTCAACGAAGCATGCTTGAAAAAGAGAGTAGGAGAGATGAGGGCAGGCGGTGGGGAGCAGGGAAGGAAGGAAGAGTCATTTACACAGTCCGGATGGTTCCATCAATAGAGACGTGAGTCTACTGATATGTCCCTCTCAAGGGATCAAGTGTGATTCTGTGTATGCCTGCATTTTGAAATGGAAAAACTTAGAAATAGGACAGAAATATCTATTTTTCACACAACATGGCTCTCAAATGCAAGCCAACAACTTTGTCCCATGGACAACTGAATTGTGATGATTTCTACTCTGGGGGAAAACTGACCATGTTGGCCTCCAACAAGACATGGATCATGGTCACACACGCTGTGTCTGGAGCATGACTTAAAGGACTTTTCACCCAACTCCCTGACTTAAATCTTAAGCCCCTTTATTATTAAGGAATCATTATAAATTTTAAGGATGTTTATGGTTATTATGGGTAGGGGTTTTTTTTAGAATCCATATTTTAGCGATATATACTGAAATATTTACAGATAAACAGCCTATTGTGGGGGGAAGTTGGTAAGGATATGGAGAAAATAAGAGTACCACAGGTTGATGACTGTTGCATGTGGGTGTCGAGTACACAGACTAGCTTCTTTACATTTGTGTGTTTTTTAAATTTTCCACTTAAAAAAGTTTAAAATTTGTTATCTCTTCAAGCAGATAAGTTCCA